TTGACAATTTTCAGGCATTGATAACGAATACTAAACAAGGATACCGACTCACCAAAAATTTCCTTCAGCTGCGACACTACTTCCTCAAAAGTCAGATCCTTCGGCTATTTGGGCAAAATGTTGTCTATGAACCTTGCATGTTCACTTATTCCGAGCTTGCGTGGTAGCAATCGCACCTTCCAGGAGTCGTCCTGACGAATGAAGTCCGTCTGGAACATGTCTTCCCAGCGCTTGAACCACGCTTCGAAGGTGCATCCAGAAGCCGCGTCATAACTGAATTCAATGATCACGTTCGTGAGAAGAGCAACAGAACTCGCCTGCGTGTCCCGCGCCGCTGCACTTGTTGTCTGTAAACTCAAGCATTGTGTCAGATTCTCAATCATTTTCATTTGTGACTCTATTTGAGCTTGCTGTTGGAAAAGCAGCTTTTGAAATTGTTCAGCAGAAAAATTCATCACATTTCCATTTTTTCCCGGCGCCATTTGTTTCATTTTCACTAGACGCAATTCCAAAAATAACAATTTACTGCTACACAAAACTCCTAGCCCAACCGAAGGAAAAAGCAAAACGTCAATGACTTTGACAAAGTAACGTATTAATCGCCGCCAGCGAACACTGTACAACTACTGCGGACCTTGGCTGTATTTATAGGTCCCTTACTGACCTTCGACATCTAGAATTGGAAGGTCAGTTGCCAAGGTTAGTGGTGCCCCATATCTTTTGCCGAGGTGTCAGGTGGTTTTTAAGCACGTGCAGAAGCAGAACATTCTGGAACGTTCGAAATCGATGCGATAATCGTTAATAATCGATTAATCGCTAAAATAGTGGATTTCCAAGGCAATTCTTACTTTCTCCTGGACACCTTTTACATAGGCTATCTGAATAAACTATCTTAACGCTAGCCATTGGTGGGTCTTAGTTACCAGCAGAGTTGTGGTGATTGATTCCTCTCGCATTGTACTATGTAGGAAACCATGGTTTCCATCAACACAAAATTATGGCCCATTAATTTTCCTGCTGGTAACGACACACTATTTTGCAGGTTTGTACATTTGTTCTGCCTTGTACCTGAAGCGGGGAATCGGAGTCAATTGTTTTAGGATGTATGCTTTGTGCAGGTAGGAACTAAATTGTACATCCACGGAGTCGAACCGGGACGTATGTTCCATTTCGTGATCTGTGCCCTTCGTCGGAGATTTGGACGATATATTGGAACTTCCCGGCGAATAAAACTCATCAGAGCAGCTTTGAAACGATTCGGCATATGGGACCGCGCAAACGCATTTTAAGAATCATAGCGACAGTTCGACTATCAGAAGCTATCACAGCTCTTCAGAAAGATAAAGTCAGCTGCATCAGATGAAGCGTTCCTCAAGGAATTGTGGCTGCCCAAGGACATCGTCAACGTCTTGTGCGCTACACCAGACACCCCATGAGCACAGCGTCTGAAACTGCTTGACCTGGGGCAACTACGGTCGCGTTTCGCGGATTAACGCACCTAGCGAGAATCAAGAAGCTTTAGTGGGCCAAGTTAAGGAGCTGTGGCGATGCTTCGATTCTATGATGTGCGCAGTGTGCCTGGCCCCGAATTTCGTTGCTTAAAGTCGCAGACACGAGAACGCATCCGATCTGCTGCAAGAACAGAGGAAAGTTGCTGCTAGTACCATGTGCAATACGGATCGGAAGCCCGATCGTGTCGATCTATCTGTTCTTTTGCTAACAAAAAACAAATGAGAGAGCAAGCTAGCCCCGCAACAACTGCCGTTTCTAGCCTAAGCAATCGACTATTTTTCGTTACCGACCTCTGGACTGGAGTTCGCTATCTCTTCGATACTAGTGAAGAAGTGAGCGTTCTCTAACATCACCTGACTGCCAGATTAAACGAAATGACTAAGAACTTGCGTACTGTTAACGGAAGCACAATTTCTTTTAACGGCCAACGCCACCGCAGGCAGATAGAGGTATCTTTCTTCAGTATTGCGTGCCAATGCGAAACACCAACGGTTTATTGATCACTAGAATATTAAGTGTTGTTGCGTCGCCCAAACTAGCGCACGCTAGTGTTAACTCACCGGTTGCTAAGACAAGACCTGAAAATTTCCCAGATATCTATTGATCCCCTTCGCCTTTCTCCATGACAAATGGCCCCACGTCGCACCATATAACTACCAAGGATCCACGGGCTTTCTCGAAATCCCGAAAACTTGCCAAGAACAAGCTAAAAATTGCTCGTAAAGAATTCTAAAGTATGTTAAAGCCTAGGATCATCCGTCCGTCAAATAGCCCTTAGCCTTCGCTCCTTCACATGGTACGGAAAAAGTCAAGAGACTGGCAACCCTGTGGGGATTCTCGCAAGCTCAATAAGGTGACAGTTCATGACAGATGTCCCATTCTGCACATCCAGGATATCACTGCAGTTCTTTAATGGTTCCCGTGTCTTCTCGAAGACCAACGTGGTGCGCGTCTATCATCAAATTCCGGTTGCCGAGGAATATATCCCTAGCACTTTAGTCATTACGCCCTTTGGACTCCGGGTTTCTGCGAATGGCAGTTGGACTGCGCGAATATTTCAAGGTTTCATCGACTGCGTCGTACATGGACTCGACTTCGTCTACCTATACATTGACGATACTTCGGTTGCCAGTTCTTTGGGAGAGGAAAACCGAACGTACTGTCGTCCAAACTGATGAAAAAGTACAAAGCCACAGTCATTTTCATGCAAACGCGTATAGAGTTCCTAGGGCACTAACTAGGTTAGAAGGGCATCCGACCTATGCAGAATAGTTCAAGCAATTTGTTACTTTCCTCGCCCAATGGCACTGGCCGTCATTCGAGGTTTAAATGGTATCGTCAACTACTATCAGCGACTCTTGCCACGATGCATCGAGCTGATACAACCGCTCACAGATCTCCTGCGTGCATTAAGGTTGATCTTACTCCTGAAGCGTGGAATGTATTCATAACCAGCAAAAAAGCATTGGTTGTAGCAGCCATCCAAAGGTTCTGGTCATTTTGGCGTCAACGCCTCGGAAAACACAACTGACGTTGTGCCGCAGCAGTTTTCCGTAAGTGACTGGGAAACGTGGGCGATGTTAGCAGACAGCTGAGGTAAAGTACAGCGGATATTGTTCCCGTCTTCAAAAGGCGTGCTCAGATATAATGAGTCAATCGTGCAGGGATTAGCCTTATTTTCGTTGCGTTTAAAGTGCTAGGCGCCTTGCTTTTAAGGAGATTCAGCCTGGTTCGAGAACAGAACACACGCAAAGAGTAATCGGGTTTCCTCTCGGGCCGGAAGTGTATCGATCACAGCAACACATTTGCCACATACTCCAGCATCGTCAAACGCTCAACCAGCCAACGATAGCCGTCTTTTTAGGCATATAAGCTGCATTTGACTCAGTTGTCCGAGCTACTTTCAGGAATTGTCCATTGAGAAAAGAATTGCCGGAAAAGCATGTCAACATTCGCAAAACCGTTTACTCTCGCACTTCTGGCAGAGTGCATGTGTACGGAGGACTCTCGCTCCTTTCAGTATCACCAGTGAAGTGAGACATGGATGATCTGCATCACGCTTTCTGTTCAACTTCGTTATGGACGACATGATGGACAACTGCGAATCCGGGAGACCGACTACGTGGCATTGCTGTAATTTGTGACTCCTCGCAGACGTCCCAAAATCACCGAGTAGGTTGAAGTCTCCCAGTTCAGGATGACCTTCGCACCACCGCAGTGCAACGTTTTCCTGCAGGATTGGCTAGGAGCTGCCGCTTCCATCACCATTTTGAGTTATCCTCTGAAAATGGCAAAGACGTTCAGTTACAGTCTAACGATTGACACTCATTTGCTCGTTGCTAAGACTCGGGTTACTTTTGCTAACATGCATCATCTCTGGCGTCTAGGCCAGATGAGTTTCTCTCTGAAAGGCTGGGCATAGAATACTATAGTGAGAGCGGTCCTGTCCTGTGTTGTGGGAACTGGCCTGTTCACGCAAAAAACGCTCATAGCATGTCCGTTTTTGACCACAGATGCCTCCGTATTGCTAATGTATGATAGCAACACCACATTACTAATGATGAGATTAATAGAAGGATATTCAAATCAGACTCTGCCGGCCATCAAGCTGCATAATCTCACTGAATAAGTTACGACGGCTTGAACGTAGGTTTCGAATACCCGTTCAGCGCTTACTTCACCATTTCCTCTTTGGGCGTGCAAAAGTCGGTTGGAAGTGTAGGCAAAAAGGACAACAAATGACAGGCCAAAGCATGAAAGCGCTAAGATAAAAATTGACCGCGATCAGAGGTTTCCAACTTCCGGAATCGGGGCGAAAGGACCACGAGCAAGCACCCTTGGCTGGAAACTCCCTCAACTATGAAAGATCTCGAAGTGAGTGGTGACCATGTTGTGAGACCCTACTCCCATGATCAAAATTTTACAGTTGGTCTGAGTTTTCTTTTCCCCTCTCACTCTCTCCTTATCGTACGTATCCATAGGCTGTGGCACTATGGCTACTGTATTATTAGTGGCCGAATCCGGGATATATATATATATATATATCTTGATTACCCACGAATTATGACGACAAGAGATCGATGCGGCGAAGAGAACTCTGAATGCCACACACCAAAAGACTTGAGGAAAAGCTGAAGCATTCCAGAAAATTGCTCTCTGCCTGAGTATGCTGTGTAAAAGGTAGGCGGTGTGGACGATCGGTGCGCAATGTTAAACTGCATGTGAAGCTCGTTTGTTTGAATCGTTAGTACCACAGATACACAGCGCGACTGCTGCACACACACAACCAGTTGTCTTCATCAAGATAGTGGCGTTATAAACCAACACATGGGATCACTATACTCTCTGTCAAAAAAGGCTCCCGGTACCTTTGGAGCTTTCCGACTATCGATAACAGTAATCGATGGTGGCCTGTTGCATACCACAAGTTTATTAGCATCAGCCAGCTAGGCCGTTGGAAACCATCGCCCTAAGCTAGAAGCGCTATCTGAGCCGCCAAAAGTGCTATATTAGTGAATACGATACGCACGGGGGTGAAATGTCCATAAAAACCAACATGAGGTGATGGATAGAAAGTTGGAGGGATTACAAAATGGGTTGCTTTGAACCCGAGTATCGATAAGGGAAATACGCGAAGGACGACAAAAACATAAGAAACGAACAACTATGATCCTGAACAGAGGCGCGAGGTTCTCTAGTTGGGGGCGGAATCACCGGTTGGTCCACTTGGAACTTTTTTAGTGATTTTGGAGTTGCCACGTTTTGTTGGAGGCTTCCGACTTCGGCCTGGCGAAGTATGATGCACGCGTTTTGGGCGCACTCGAAGAGCTCGACCGGCTTCTGCGTCCGCAAGCTTCAAGTCGTTACCTAAAAGTGATTTGGCTTGAATCTGTCAGGGAGAAAAGGTGTTGGTCACCTTCTTCAATGGTTTTACTAATTACTGTCTCTTTCTGTGTTTTTCGTGTTTTCTTTAGCGCTGTTGGATTCCTAGAATCACCCGACTTCTCGCTTGATGAGATCTCCTTGCTAACCTAAAGGGAAAATAAGTATGCGGTAAAATACATGCAACAGGAATTCGATAACATTACCTTCGTTGTGGCACCATGGGAATTAGTCTTCAGTGATTGAGACTTGTCTGCCATTAGCGGTAACGAAGTGTGCACCGCTTGTGGTGAGAAAGAGAGCTAAAAAGGAGGAACACAAGCTATCGGCAGTAATCGTACAACTGACGGCAAGAAATAGTGGGTTCCGGTAGATTTGGCGGAAATAAGAAACGCAAGCTACAGAAATGCATAGGGAAAAACTCCGAAGAGCATAAAAGTGTGACAACCGGATAACAATATGCTGCATGGCTATATAAACTGGAGATGAGTTGGTCACCAAAGGCATTACACCGGGATTTACGGATGGGAGCCGACTACCGATAAGGCTGATATGACAGACATGAAGATACAGACAAAAAGATAATGGCTGAGGTAGCTCCATATTCGGAAAATCATTTCGATTATGCATGAAAATGAATGACGACTTCCGTATGGTGAATAAATAGTTCATTTAATCGTACTTTATAGATTCTAGTCTAATAACTTTCGCCATCTTTCTGGTAGTAGTAGTAGTAGTCGTCGTAGTAGTAGCAGTAGGTTAAGGATTTGCCTGTCACTGCGGCCAGCGAAAGGACGTCTGCGCCTACAGAGGGACCATGGGTGGCCTGCGCCACACCACCCACAGCTCCATCCACAAACCTCATATCCAGTGTAAACCCGAAGGAATAGGCTCCGGAGACATGAGGATGGGAGCCACGTTTCATCAACGGAGCCGGACCACACTCCGTCACAGGCAAACACAAGCACGCTGCATTTGGGGAATCAAGCGGTGGCTGGACCCTATTCCCCACCACACTGAGTGCATGGAACCACTCTTCGAGCCTTACCCGGCCACAAGGACCGTGCACCCCGTCCCCTCCAGCAATGACCAACTGTCTACTAGAGCCAGTATGGATGAAGCAGTGGGTAATAGACAGTTAGACACCTTGTCAAAATGAACATCAAGCGCAAGCACACCAAGGATATAAAGTAACAGCCAATCACTTGAAACGACGAGAAGAAATAAAACAAAGGGAATAATGCATACAGATACGGTGACATAACTCTTCAATAAATGAGCATGCAAAATAAATTGGTTAGGAAACATAGACCTTAAACGATAGATTCAAGACGTCACAAAATATATTTTAATAAAATGCCGCAAACGCGAAAATGTTATCGAAGTTAACTACAATTAGCTTAAGCGAGGTGTGCAAGTTTATAGCAGATAGTTCAGGTAGACAATAATATAAAAAGGCATTAGGACAATATAGCAAAACCACCAACTAAAATAAAGAGACTCAGCATGCAAGCATGCGGTTAGTAAATCGAACACAGTGTACTCACCAACGCTGCGCCGGTTCTGCTTACCTTCTCAGCAGGACTCGTCGTCGTTTCTGTGGTGGCCCCGAAAGGCCTCGTTCATGGCTCACTAGGCCTGCCTGACTCAGACAATTACCACCGCATGTGCTACAGCACCATACGTTCGATGTCGATGGAATACAACCCATCGGCGCCTGCTGCTTCCGAACTTGCCGCCTCTTCCCCGCACACATGAGGGCTTTCTGTTACAACTCGGCAACTGCCTTCATGATCAGATCGCGCCATGCATGCCCATCAACCGCTTTCGATTCCCATGATAGGTTCACCTTGATCAGGTCCTGGTAACGAAGCCTCAGGTTCCCACATGCAGCTTCCTCACACTCAGCTGAGCATATAAAAGCTGCATAGGTATCCGTGTCGAATCCATACGCCACACATGACCGAACCACCGCAAGTGTCTCAACAAAAGTATGCAATCCATTTTATACATCCCACTTCGGCACAACACTTCCGTGTCCGCAACTCTATCGCACCAACCAATGCGCAAAATCCATCGCAGACGCTGTTGATGGAACTGCTCGAGATATCGCACATCTCGCCATTAGATCGTCTGCGTTTCACTGGCGTACAGAAGAACGGACAGCACCATGGATTTTTACACCATCAGCATCGTGCCAACGGTAAGCTAATGGTTGTTCCACACCCGGTACTCTAGGTTCCCGAATGCCGCCGCTGCCTTCGATACGCGGATACGAAGCTCACGGTGTATCTGCTGGTCAGTCGACTTCACACTCCGAAGGTCGCAGAAGCAGGAGGTGGTGCCCAATACGTCATCACTAATGCTGATTCGCGGCACCATTGTAGATTGGACCTCCGGTGAAGGCATGTACTACTATGCCATATATATATATATATATATACTCATAAAAGTTTGGGTCCTTGCTGGCAAAAACTGATCCAGATGAATTTTGAGCCGCTCACTGGAAATAAAGTATTACCGTCTGAAAAGTTTTGTAGGGACGGGAACAATAATTAGGTGCTAGATCTGGAGAACATGTTGGGTGTGGCAGTGCATCCCAACCAAGCTGTAAAAGCTTTTGGCGAGTTACCAAACTTGTATAAGGTACCGCATTATCATAGTGGAACATTACACCCTTTCTATTGATTAATTCGCACTTTTCCATCTAAGTGAATGATTCAATTTGTCCAGCTGATGATAGTACACTCCCAAAGTGATCGTCACGTTGTCCGGTAGAAGCTCAAGAAGAAAACGATTCCTTTGAAATCCCACCAAACAGATAGTAGCACCTTTTTTCATGAGTATCGGCTTTCGAAGTGGTTTGCGTCGGTTCATCGTTTTTGCTTCATGACATTTTGCATTCAACACTGATGCAGACAACCTATTTCTTTCCCCCGGTGATGATGCGCTTCAAAAATGGATCCGTCTTTGGACGTTTGAGAAGCAAATCAACGATGTCAACGAGACGGCACAAATTTTTTCCCTAAGAACAAGAAGAACCCACATGTTGAACTTTGAGATAAAACCTAACCTTTTAAAAAGATTAGGAACGGTGGAATTCGATAAACAGTTTCGCAACGATGTCACGATTTGTTATTCGTCGGCTCGCATCAATTAATGCAAAGTAAGTAAGCAATCAATTAATTAATCGCCGGATCAAACTTTTGAAAACCGATTTTGGCACCGGCGTTTTTTCAACCCATCTTCCCCATACACATCAGATACTTGTTTCTTACTTGAACAGAATTGTTACCATTGCGAGTGTAAAAAAGCAAACAAAATGTGCACAAAATGCTGCTTTTCAGTTCTCATAGCCAAAAACTATGGCGTAGAATAAAGCGATCTTTTGCACGAACAGGTCTTGCAATATCACCTGACAAAATGTATAATGACTATGCGGATTAAGTGTGAAGTTGGTTGTGAAAAAATAATAAAAAGATAAAGCGAAAATACTTTCCGAACCACCTAACACGATGTGTGATCTCACTGTTGCAGTGCAAGCCACCTTGATGAAGTTAGCTCGCTAAGTTGATTGACAATACAACAGGGCGACGGTTACGGCACGCCAACATAAGAGATGAAAACATAGTGTGCATTAGATGAAACGTACCCAGCGAGTAAAATCAGCATCCGGTACTAGCCAACGAGCGCCAAGGAGAACAGAGAAGTGTATAAATACATGGGAAGGAATTAGAAAGGAACACACCGTCGGTTAGAATGTTCACTCTCGTTCGTATTACACCCGTGCTTGTACAGACGCTTCACTAGCAAAAATGGCGTCAGTAATATCGCTGCTTCACTGCTGCGCAAGTACCATCAGTCGCACTTAGGCTAAGGATACTGCGAGGGTTGCGCGGTCTCCTACGCATGTTCGAACCCGCGCCCTCAGATTACAAAGCAGGTTAATGATCCTTAAGGTTACGGGCAGTCGTTTATTTCCCTCGAACACACATTTTTGGCGCTCCAGGCACCTGCACATCACCTGTCTAAACAATCGTGGACGCTGATTGACCACAACGTCAGTAACTACCGTTGACGAGGTAAACGGTTGTAAGCGGATGGCAGCATTGAATTAGGGAGGAGCGGGGGCTGTAAACTAAACGTCTGAACCACGTATCCAAAGATTCCCTAGTATTTTGCTATACTTCGTAAATTGTATGAGTAGCAGCTTAGTGAGAAAAATTAAAAGGTGGGACAATATATCGGGAGAGAAAGTTCCCTCCAATAGGTTATCCTCCTCTCATAAGCACACGGAAGCGCCTGATTAGATGTGATGTAGGTACTCTGAATGGATCTGCAGTCAGTTATGCAACTTCGTCAACGGCGCTTGATGACGACGTGGTCAATCTGCAACCACGAGTGTTTAGGCACATGACGTACCAGTGCCAAAAATGTGTTCAAGAGAAATAAACGACGGTTGGCCCAGAGCTGTGCAATGAGATCGCCGCTACGTGTTCTGCGAGTGCCACGCGAATGTTGACAACCGAGTTTGCACTCATCAACTTCGATCCTACCAACTTGTGCGTGTAAGCCCCCCGGCTAGCATCACGATATCCGGGGAGCGCATTTTGCGATGACCTTCGGATAGTTGGTTGTACAAATCGTCTTTAACAGAGTCCGGGTTGCAATCCGCGGGATCGTGAAAACTACGATAAATACTTAGTGTTTGATAGCCTCATGGATGAATAATCGTACGAGACTTGCTAACCGAATTGCAGTCGACTGTTAACTGGGATCCAATGACGTAGCGTTGTTCTTGAGCACGCACTTAGCGCAATTCCTACACTGCCCTAGAGAAGGGTTTCCCAACCTGGGAGTAATTACCCACAAGGGGGTCAAATGGCATTTTCCGAGGGGTAAATACCGATAACTGGATTTGGTCACAAATCAGTCGCGAAATAAGCTTAATAACGAAATCACACATCGCAACTAGCTCAGCCTTTTTAGTTAGCCATCCGTCAATGCAGCTACTACGGCATGGCGCCTTTGTCGACTGCCACAACTGTTGCCGTGTTTTCGAATAAGCCAGTCGTTCACCGGGTCGAATAACGGGGTGGATAGCAAACGATCGTTTCAGCACTGGTCAAAGTACCAGTTATGTTCACAGGTAAATGTTTGACAGTAGGAACGGCGAGAAAGGGTGATTAGTGTTCACAAGGTATGGATACAGAATGGTGTCGGGATAATGTCGAGGAATAACGTGGAACGGAGGAATGAAACACATGTTCATGTTTGATTAGGAATCAGACACGATGGGGTCA